AATTTGGATTTTTTGGATATGAATTTTACTTATTAAGCAAAATGTCACTTTTATAATCTGGAAATGTCAGAAGTATTACTAGTATTTGAAAAAACTGTCATGTTTGTAGCAGTACATTTATCAGGTTGACAATCTGAAAATGACATATGTTCATAAGATAATGTCATTATAATGTCATTTATTCATATTAAGTGGCATTCTCATCGGAGGCTGCACACACTTGAATGACAAAAGAGTGTCATTTTTAAAAAAATAACCAATAAATATGACATTGTTGATTAAAAAGTGACATTTTCTTCAGAATCATTACTCAGGGCATTTTGAGATTGAAATATATCAAAATTGATAAGAAGAAATTCAAGTTAAGTATATCTTCATTGGAAACTTTCACATTCATGCAATATTTTTTCAAATTTGATTGATAATTTTTTTTAAAAAAAAAAGAAAGCAGAGAATCAGGAACAGGGCTACAAGAAGAAGATGAAGAAGAATTAGAAGAAGAAAAAGAAGAAGAGGAGGAAGAAAAGGAAGAAGAGTACTTGGAAGAGCAGAGATCAGATGACTACGATGACTGCGGATAACGCTGTTGACGATGGAGATCGAAGCTGCGATCGGCCAAAGGGAAAGTCGCAAGGGAGAAGTCTGGCGGTTGATGGAGAGTCGATCGATTATTTTTAGGAAGAAGGGTAATAAGGTAATCTGGAGTCCTATTTGTGAGATATAAAACTTGTAGTCCTACTTTGGAATTTTAACCATGTTTTAGTCCTATTTAGGATTAAAAAAATTAATTTCCCACGTTCTAGATGTTGTTTTTGTTTTGGTTGTGCCGTGTTTTTAAGCAAAAAACTAGTGAAACTAAAACATGAGATGAGGAGTCGTGTCTGCAAGTCATAGGCTCAGTTATGCCCAAAGCGGGATCAGCGAATTATATGGCTTCTACGAAGGTGATTAATTCAGAGTCTGGTCCTTGGGAGGACGATAGACCGGAGACTTGTTGTCACTTTGTACCCTGTTTTGGTTTGGTCCTTTTGGTCTGTTTGGTTATGATAAGTTAAGCCACTTTCGTTAAAAAAATCACTTCAGCCAGAACTTAATAAGTTTCAGCAGATTGACCAATTTTAGTGTTACCAAACGCGTTCGAAATATATCATGAATATGATAAAATTAAAGTTTATTTTATAGCCCGTTTGGTAATATCAAAATCGGCTGATTTTGCTGAAATTTATGCAAATCTTGCTGAAGTGGCTGCATTGGTTGATTCTGCTTATTTTTGAAAAAATTATACGATAGTATTTAAAATAGATTTTATTAATAAAATAAAGAAAAAATTATATGAAAATAGCTCAAATGATTTTCTACAGTAACTTCAGCCAATACAGTCATAAAAGTAACTTCAACCTTACTTTTTCTTATTATTATACAATTCAACGCATAAAATCAAAAGTTACGTGTTTGATGAAAAAGTTGACTGATAAGTCTGATAAACTAAAAAATAGAGTTTCAAGAACTCTTAAATTGCAAACCTTTTTGTCTAGAAATAAAAGGCCCCACCGCCCCCACGTATTACGACAAGCACCACTTGGTTGAGTTCATGTTGAAAACCAAGTCCACGATATAAGTATGGCTAGACCTGTCAATGGGTCGGGTCCGGGTCGGAACGTAGTGTTCCAGACCCGGACCCGCTAAGTAAATAAAGGACCCGGACCTGACCCGTTTACCCGGCGGGTCTAAAAATTTGGACCCAGACCCGGACCCAACGGGTCTCGGAACCGGGTCGGGTAGACCCGCCAAGTATCATATGCACAACATTATATAACTTTTTTTTGACAGAACATTATATAATTTTTTAAAAATAGTAAAACATGTATATGAAATGTAAATCAAAGTGCACAAATTTAAAAGCAAAATATATCTTTACTTTTCAAAAAAATCAAGGTTTATCATAGAAAATTAGTACTTTTATTCAATAAAATATCGGTTCTTGTAGATGCGTACAATTCCGCACTTTGTGTCTCTTTCTCTCCCACAGAAAGCTCGTATATTAGATTAGAAATTAGGTCACAAAAAGTTCTTTTGGACTAAAAGCATATTATATACTACGTACTATTATATTATCACTTATACATTAGGTATGTATTAATTTGTATCTATTTAATCAAAGAATTAAAACTAATCACTTTATATATATAAGTTTGTATTTTTATTTGAAGTATTATAACTAATCTCTTTATGTATTAGTGTGTGTATAAATACTAATAAGAAATTTTAAACGGGTCCGGGTCCTTAACGGGTCGGAATCATAAGTACCATACCCGACCCGTTTATTAAAAGTACTAACGGGTCCGGGTTCGGGTCCGGGTAAACGGAATAAAATAAGGACCCATACCCGTTAAAAACAACCGGGTCCGGGTCGGGTCCGGGTCTAGACCCGACCCATTGACAGGCCTAAGTATGGCCATTTAGCTTTAAATTACGGAGTATTATTCACTTGATTGGCCAAAAATGCTCTCACGTTTCTTACCTCCGTTTCCTTGCTTTCTCCCCTTTGTCTTTTTACCTTGGTACTAAAAACGCAAGGGTCTCGCCCATAAAAGTGATGTCCGCGTTCCCATTTACTTTTCATTCACTTTCCTTGTGGGCCTCTTTTGTATTACCTCCGTTCCATTATGTTTGGGACAAATGAGTGTGACACAACTTTTAAGAAAAAGTGTAATTGTATGGTTGATATTAAATTGATAAAGTGTGAATAAAGTAAGAACGAATTGTAACCACTCAAATATTACCAAATATGGTATGTGACAAACTTAATGGGACGAACGAAAAGGTAAAACGGTACAAAGTTAGAGGGACAGAGGGAGCAATACTATAATTGAATAATATAACCTGCACAAGTATTTGAATTAGTTGAGTGATTGAAAAGTTTGAATATTGATTAAGGATCAATATTTGCAGCGATCATGTATGGTTATAGTTCTTATGTGTTGGGTTGTACCTTTGATACACACAGGTACAAGATCTATCATAATTGGACTTACCGAGTCACAGTTACTTACAACCTTTCAAATGCCTTGTCGGTCCACAGCGTGAGGGCCCTAAGAATTGATGGTTCGACATGTTGAAACATTGTAATAACTGAATATATGTCTCATTTGATGAGTTATGAGGATATTTTATCTAAAATAAGTTCTATAAATGAAGAAAATAATGAAAGTAATATACATATTCTGTTTTGGAAAGTCTTTTGCTCTCTGTATTGGATATTGTCAATTTTATTTTGATTGTGGAATAAGAAAAATAAAAATTATGTTGTGCAGAGAAAAAAGAAATGATGGGCGTCACAAATTTATTATTTTAAAAAATTGACAAAGTTTTGCTACAAATAAAAAATGTTGACAAAATCTAATTTAACGAGACAAAGAAAATATTAGTTTTCTGATTTCCATTCACATTTGGAAGCTTTTATCATAATTTTTCATTTTCTATTTCACAATTTCGTCTCATCATCTTTTATAATTGAGTTACCTTTTATTGTCTGTTTTTCTATTCTTATTATTTTGATATTCCCGTTCATAATTTCTTCTCCAAGTATTATTATGCTCTGTTAAACGAATTCAACCACTAAAAGCCATTTAAAGTCTGCTTGGCAACCAACCTAATTTGGTGAAATTCTTAATAAATTGAATTGTCTTAGTATCCTGAATTATGAAAAATATTCTTTAATACTCCGTATTTGATTTTTTCAGTATGATAATTTTTTTCCCTAAAATACTACCAAAATAAAACGCATGCCTGATAAATCATAAACAACATTTTTCAAAATAAAAAATACTTCCTCCGTCCCATTAGAAGGTTTCTACTTTCCTTTTTTGGACATCCTATTAGAAGGTTCCCATTTCCATTTTAGAAAACAATTAACAATCTTAAGTGACAAATTAATCATTAAATATTAAAAATAATACATTTATAACATCACAGTTATCAATACTAACTAAATTATAATATATATCTATTAAAATTATTTCTCAAAATATAATCGAAGTACTTTATTTAATTATTGCCTAAATAATCATGCCGTTTTGCTATGGGAACCTTCCAACGGGACGGAGGTAGTAACATTTATCAAATGTAGTTTAGATTAAGAGCCCGTTTTATAATACTGAAATCAATTGATTGTGTTAAACCTGATTAAGTTTTAGCTGAAGCGACTAAATTGACTAGATTTGTTGAATTGTCAAAAAATTATATGCATAATATATCTTATTAATAAAAAAAATATATATAATTTAGCCAATTCAGAGAAAAAAGTAACTTTAACGTTACTTATTTTAATTAATACATAATTTAGCGCACGCAATGAAAAGTCACATACTTAATGAAAAGTTTTGTTGATAAGACTGACAAAGCGAAATCAGAGGTCACCTAACGAGTTCTAGATGTCTTATTTTGATTACTCCGTGCTCCTTTTGACTTTTGTCTTGTTAAGATTATCTTATCTTTCTTTTTCGATCAGTCCAACTAAGATTGTCTCATACTAAGGGGGTGTTTGGATCTGATTCTTGAAACTGCTCCTTTAGAGAGCAGAAGCTGAAGTTAGCGTGTTTGAGTTAAAGTGCAGAAGTACTTTTGGTGCCTCAAATTACTCCTAGAAGCAATTTTTCTAGAAACTGAAGAAGACCAACTTCTAAAAACTGATTATGATTCTATTTCTATTTAAAAAAAAAAAAGAATCAAAAACACTATCCGTCCAAATACCCCTAAATTTCATAAAAAATTTGTAATTTTAAATTATTTTTAATGTATTTTTACTTTATTAATTTGATATCAATCACATCAATTTATTAATACCCGTGGGCTATTAATTTTTACGGAGTACTATATTGCACCACCTCTCTATTAGTACTTACCAAGTACTTCGTACATTGCAATGCCCGCTGGTTAAAAATTGAGTATTGTGTAAAATAGTGACTTCTTGGCTTAAGGATCTAGTCTACCCGTGGGCTGTTACTTTGTTGTTTTCAAAATTAAAAGATCAAGTACCCACCAAACAAGCTTAGGATCAGAAGCTCAGAACATGGGGCAGAGTGGGAATGAATAATCATCATAACTTTCTTTCGTGACACTTTCCAGTTTTACACTGTACACAGCTCCCTAAGTTTTTCTTTTATCCAGTTAAGGTACACGTACTGATATAATCATTTTCTATATATGTGATGAATTTGTGCCTTTCTTCCCTTTTCTCTTTGTAGTAAGCCACACAGTAAAGAGTTGTTCAAATTTTCGGCCTTTATTAATTACTTACCTCACCTAGCTACATCCCTCGCTCTATCTGATCTGTGAAGAAAAGGGTATTTTCAAAAAGCTCAAAATTTCACCCATCCTTGAAAATGGAAGAGAACTTTGTGGTCAGAAGAGGAAAGGCCACAGAAAATGCAGAGTTCCAGGAAGAGGAGGTAATTTGGGCCTATTCCAAGGATGGGGATAGGGATAGGGATAGGGATTCCTCATCATCAAGAGTGAAGAAGATGAATACGAAGATGGGGAAACCTTCTCCATCTTCTTCTTCTTCATCTTCTGCATGGCCTTTACCAAGAAGGCTGACACAGAGGAAGAACTGCAGGGTAGATGATCATAAGTCAACATCTCCTGTGAAAATCCCAGACTGGTCCTCAGAGATTTACCAGGAGGGAAATGAAGAAGATGAAGGGATGGTCCCACCACATGAATACATAGCTAGGAGGCTTGCAAGGACTCAAATTGCCTCTTTCTCAATGTGTGAAGGTATTGGAAGGACCCTGAAAGGAAGAGATCTTAGCAAAGTGAGGAATGCCATCTTGACCAAAACTGGTTTTTTGGAAGGGTAGATTCACATTTACTGCTCCAAGTAAATCCATGGGCGGGTACGGTGCAGAGTGACGTCATTATCTTCTAGATGGCCTGGTTTTTTTAATTTGTTATTGTTATTACTTGGGCAGCTGTTCTGTAGTACGTCTGATGTCACTGGGGCAGCTAGGTAGGTGTTTTTGGTCATGCTTGTAGGTGACCGAGTTTTCCAGTTTTGGAGATTTTTAATCTTGTTTTTTGAAAGTTGAGAGAGGAATGAGCTTTAATCCAATTGCAGTGTTATTTTACATATCCTAGTGATAATACTCTACTTACTTATTAATAAAGTAATTGGTATTGAGTACAATTTATCAATTATCTAATTGCTATTAAGTACAATTGGATGAATGTTATAATTGCTATTAAGTACAATTGATGAATGATATAATTGCTATTAAGTACAAAAACATGCACCTTTTATCACAAGTTCAATACACTTCACCCTTTAAAAAAAATATTTTGTTTTAATAACGAAATGATTTAATGCCATAATTTTAGATTCCATATTCTATCACATTTTCCATAAATACAATATGATTTGAAATATGGAACATTACGAGCCCATTTGGTAGCCCAGATTTTCAGCTTATTAAGCTTATCAGCCAACTTTTTCACCAAACACGTATTTTTTTATTTCACTCGCTGAATTGCGTAATAATAAGAAAAAGTAAGGTTGAAGTTACTTTTCTAGCTGCATTGGCGGAATTACGGTAGATGACCATTTTAGCTATTTTTATTTTTTTGCATATAATTTTTTCTTTATTTAAATAATAAAATATATTTTAAATACTTCAGAATCAACAGAATCAACCAATTTTGTTGAGGACCATGTATTGGTAGTAATTTTTTTTAAATAAATCAAGAGAATCAACCAATTCAGTCACTTCAGCTAGAATTTTATAAATTTCAGCAGAATCAATTGATTCAGTCGATTTTGGCATTAACAAACGGGCTCTACATATTCTATCTCATTCCCTACCATATTTACAAATGCTAGATACTCTTACAAACAAGACATGTAATTCTTCAACTCTTTCAATTTCACAAAATATGTAACTGTTCAACTCTTCCAATTTTACAAGACACATAATTCAAGTGCATCCATAAAATATCCGAAATATAAACACATATTATAAGGAACAGGTGTGATATGTGTGTGTGTAGACGTCCAATTTTTAGACATTGTATTTGTACTATAAAATGTCTAAAGTTTACTCGATAGATAAATGTTTACTAATTTTATACGTTTCACATATTATAAGTAAGTATATTATTACTTCCACAAACTTGACATATATAGTGTGCTGATTTCAATATAGGAAGTTATTTCATAGTGCTTCCACAAAGTTAAATCTATATAGTGTTGACTACTAAATCATACACGCACGAGCAGTTCATAATACACTCCAATTGTCTTTGATTTCTTCCCAACTTAAATTCTTCTCTAATCAAGTATATGATTTGATTAAAACATATATTTCTTTGGTATCAAAGTTAGAGACTCCAAGTCCGACTTATGAGAAGATAGACAATTTTCAATAAGGAGTCACCTTCTACGAAGAAAACAATAGAGTTGGCCCTTGTAGACGAATGTGTAATATTTTTTATTTTTTATATAATAGTTCATGTTCTTAATTTAGTATTAACGTTAGATTGATTTATTTAATGTGCTCTGTAAGGTTGCTCAGTGAGCAAATTTATTGAAGGATTTGATGATTTACTGGCAGAAGACAAATGTTACAAAATATTTATTTTTTATCTTGGAGTTAATCACATACGTTACTTCGCTATAGTCAAGGAAATAGACGATTTTACGAATTCTACTATGGCCAAGGAAATAGACGATTTAGATTATGCATCCACTCTTTGGTTCCTTTCATTCCACAAACCCCAACACCCAACAACGAGTTTTGAGGACAATCTAGTCCCTGGGTACTCCACCATTTTCATTCCCGAGTTTTTAGGACAGTCCAGTCCAGTCCTTGAGTAGTCCACCATTTATATTTCGAGTTTTGAGGACAGTCCAGTTCAATGGTTCTCCACCAATTATATTTGTGAGTCTTGAGGACAGTCCAGTCCCTGGGTTATACACAAATTCTATAACAAGTTTTGAGGACAATCCAGTCCTTAGGTGCTCCACCATTTCCTATGATTTACCACATATCATATACTTAGATAAGGGTGTATATCATATTATTACCAACGACTAATCCTAACCTTAGCATTTAATCATGATATATCAAGCCTTAGCATTTAAACATCATATTCCATGCAAAATATACACACATATGATGGGTGGGGCCGGTTTTATCTCGAACCGCGCCCCATTTTGCATTTTATCAAAAACCAGCCTTGGAACCCGATACTGAACCAGGGCTGGTTCATAATGAAAATTTCTGAAGTAGCAAAACAGTGGCCAAACTGCATCCGATTCCGGTCCCTGGTTGGCGCCGATCCACTGTCTGCCTCGAGTCAACGACCCGTTGACACCCCGAACGTACTCCGGGTCACTGTCCGCCCCAGGTCAACGGCCCGTTGATACCCCGAACGTACTTCGATTTCTCCGAAACTTATACACAATACGTATTAAGTCATAAACAATTCAAATGTGCCATTTTGGTCATCCAAAACATGCTTGTATTCTTTTATATCTTTTACATGCATATTCATGTAGTTTTATTCACATAAGCCTAGTCACCTTGGCTAACCACATGCTTAAGCTCTTTAAAACATGATTATGAATACATATAACATTTCTGTAGGTAATCACACACTTAACCCAAGATTGGTAAAACATAAAACCGTCAACTCACCTCGAATGAGCTTTAAGAAGTACTACCCTCTTCGGTTGAAACTTCATGGAACTCCAGCGATAACTTTGGCAACTATCTCAACTCCGTGAGAGCACTAGGAACACCTTATATAAGTTCCTAAGAAGATTTTAACATTTCAAAACCCATATCAATACAAATAACCTTATAAAGGTTCTTTTTCCTGCGGACCGGTCAATATGGCTTCTAAGTCCATTCTTGGACTTTGAACCACCATCCAACGCCTCATTCTACTCATCTAAGAATGTAGAAAAATATCGAGTCCTTCATATGACTTATCTAGTCATATAAACTTAGTTGTAAGAAGAAAAAGTATCCATAAGACCATCACCTTGTTTTTTTAAGTCTACCCTCCTTTTTCCTCTCTTAAACTCCTATTTTGAACCTCCCTTTGCTTGAGGTCGAAATATGACAATGGAGGATGATGTGCAGGGCTTTTCTTCACTATTTGGTGTTGGTTTGGTCGAGCTGGGTGATGGGGAAAGGGGATAGAGACTTCCTTTGTCTCAATTGATCAATAAGTGAAGGAGGCCCCAATCCGTCCTCCCCTTTTCAATATGAGCACACAAAAACGTAGGGTAGGCCCCACTTATGTGGTTGGTCATCCCAATGTGTCCCGAAGCGTACACTCGATCCCAAAAGTTGTATTTCTCGAACTGTATTAATTAAATTACACTTTATCAGGCCAAATAAAATATATATCATCCTCCCAATCATTATGTGCCTCTAAAATGAATATATATTCCTCAACTTTAACTTAGCAGCCCCTGGAATTTATTATGGTCATTTGATAAATTAACAATACCGGTAATTGAGCTTTATTTGACCAACAAGTCAACTCTATGCCTTTTCTATGGCCCAAAAATAATATACACCACCATATAAATATTATCTAAACCAAGATGAATATAATATGTGGTCCCAAAAATATCGGGTGGTCACCGTTCCCGATGTGGGCCCCACATGCATTTTTACTAATCACATGAAATAAATAACAAAAATTTACAACCTCTTATATTCAATAACCATTCCTCAAGGTTCAATACATAATTTTCCAAAAAGTAAATATACTTGGAGACGACGATGTTACACACCCTCTGTTGCGTCTCTATAAGAGCTGCATCAGCGGCCTTTGATGTTGCTCGTTCAACATCAAATTCATTTTTTGAAGTTCACTTTTGCTAAAGTTGACCCTGTCTCTCGGAGGTGCACTACCATTTCCAAGACCACAAATCCAAAGACCTCGTTTGGAACCTTGAAAAGACTTAATAATTTCAAGTCTAGTATCAGAATCATCAATAAGTGTCTCTCATTCAAAAGAGTGCATTCACGAAGGTTATATTCCTTTGCCTTTTCTACGAGATATTGATTAGACAAAAGAAAATAAAAATTTTATGTTACAAAGTTATGAAAGAATTGCAAATGTATTTTAAATTCAGCATTTGTTCTTTTGTTGCATTGTTAGTTAGTCCAACATTTATCTTTTCATGTACAGATTAACTCAAAAGAAGTAACTTCCAGAAACTTTTAATAATCCTAATTATTCAATATAATGGGTAAGCAAAGAAGATTAATTATATTTAAAAATGATACTGTAATCAAAACTATTACGAGTACTATAACTGGTATATAATGTTTTTTTCCGAAAAAGTTAATCAAATAGCTAGGAAGAGAGACAGTCAATTAACAACCGGAGGCATTGTCCACCTAACCTTATAAGTTAGAACTCAATTAAAAAATACAATACTTACTCATTTGGAAATATTTAATAATCCTAAATACTTAAGAAAGAAAAAGAGAGTGTATTTTACCTTAAAAAAAGAGTGTATAATTACGTACTCTATCCTTCAAAGAAAAATAGCAGCCCCAAGCCCAATCTCGATACCCCAGCGTTATAAAAGTTTTTTAATAATCTAATCTTTGAATGCTTGTTAACTATCAATTCTAAATTTTTAAATAATAATAATTTTCTATCGCTCGATGCCTTTACCCGAGAGCTGAGGGTCACGACTTTCTTGTCGGCTTTGTGTGCGGCACTGCTTTTTTGGCTTCGGAAAGCGTCGATCGAGCGTGGTGGCAGAACTATGGAGGAGGACGAAGACCGAAGGCGTAGGGAAGAGCGTGACCAGGAAGATGAGCGGGTAGGCAGCCTCGCTGTCAAGTATGGAGGGCTGGGGATTGGCGGAAACGACGAGGAATTGTTGATTGAAGACGAAGAGGAAGGGGAAGGGGAAGCGGAGATAGGGGCAGGGAAGGCGAAGGAGTTCCTAGTTGTTGGGACGATTCTCACGGACAAAGTCATCCGATTTCGATTCTTTAGGGATTCATGGCTGATTTATGGCATACGGGCAAATGAATTTCTATACATGAGATTGGTGAACGGAGGTATCCGTTTAAATTTTTCCATTCTGTTGATATGAATCGTGTTCTTGGGCGTTTGACCAGAACTTGATTGTGCTAAAAGCTTTTAAACCGGGTGATATCCCGATTAAGATGTTGTTAGATGAGTTTGAGATCTGGGTACAGGTCCATAATGTGCCATATAGTTTTGAAAACTTGGGCACGACAAGGAGAATTGAGAATCATTTGAGGGAATTTGTCATTTGGGGTGATAAAAAATTTGCTAACAAAAAAAGGCTTATATGCGTGTAAGAGTCCGCATGAATACTGGTAAAGCTTTAAAGATTGGGACCACTCTAAAGAAAAGCAAGGGAGAAGGGTATTGAGTAGATTTTAAGTATGAAAAGCTACCAAGCTTTTGTTTTTGTTGTGGTATGATTGGACATGCAGCGAAATTTTGCCCTCTTCTGTATGAAAATGAGGGGCAAGCTATGGCTATACCTTTTGGACCGTGGCTTAGAGCGAGTGGAAGGAAATCAAAGCCAAGTAAGGGTAGCAAGTGGCTGATTTCGGAAGGGAGCTCCCCCGGTGTGGGACGCATTCATCAAGTATCGTGAGGTCAGTGTAGGAATTGGACCCGGATGAGTCGATAGAGAGTACCAAAGCTGGAATGGAGAACGTTATGATTTCAGGTGAGATAGAAGAGGATGGAGTGCCAGGAGAGCTGAAGAGGAGACGCACTTGGGAGGTTCAGGCTAGGGAGGATGCTACAAAAGATGTTATGGCGCTGGACTCCCCAAAAAACGGGGTTGGGGCGGGTGCTAGTCTCTAGCCCCGCCAGATGATCTGATGCTGATTTCGGCTTTTTTTAGCTGAGAAACTTACTTCCTCTTTTTATTTTGTTTTATTTATTTCTCATGTTCTGGATGTTGTTTTTGTTTTGGTTGTGCTGTGTTTTTCCAGCAAAAAGACTTGTAAAACTAAAACAGGAGATGAGGGGTCGTGTCTGTAAGTCATAGGCTCAGGTAAGCCCAAAGCGGGATTAGCGAATTATATGACTTCTACGGAGGTGATTAATTCAGAGTCTGGTCCTTGGGCGGACGGTAGACAGGAGACTTGTTGTCATTTTGTAACCTGTTTTGGTTTGGTCCGTTTAGTAATGATAAGTTAAGCCAGTTTTGTTAAAAAAAATAGCAACCCCAAGCCCAACTACTTTATCACATGAACCAAATAATCCCAAACAATCCTAATCAGAGTTGAATGAACTTGAAGTTAACATGTTACAAGTTACAAACATCAAAGTAATATACTACATGTGCACAATTGTTGCACTAAATTATACACAATAAATCATCAAGTGTATGCTACTTCATTAAAAGTTACTCCGTATGTTTTTTAACAAAAGAGATGATAATGGGATCTAATAACAAAAACAAAAACAACAGAGATAAAGAGTGGGGAAAAGAAAAACCGGAACTTTTTATATGGAAACATATAAAATGATTTCGTTGAGTTTTTTATAGGGATAATTTGACTTTGCACCCCGTTTTCTAAAATCTGTTTTTGCACCCAAACCCCATATGAAAAGACAAAAATGCCCTCGATGAAGAATATGTTGAAGGCCAACAAAATTGTTAATAGATGGGCATTTTTGTCTTTTCATATGAGTTTGGGGTGCAGAAATAATTTTTTTTTAAACAAGATGCAAAGTCCAATTCGCACAATAAAATTAGGTGCAAAGTCAAATTATGAGAAATGAAGTGAACTATTATGAAGATTTTTGTCTTATTAGACAGTTCGTAGTGTTTGCATATGATGAATTCTAAAATAACAAGTAAGGCATTGTAATTTTAAATTACAACAAAATACAAAAAACAAAATAAAAATTGCTACCTAGAATTTATCCGAGATGAAATGGTTACACAATCATTGCCATTCATTAAAATCTTTATGAACCATCTCTGCAGGGGTGAAGCGAGTGCTTCGGCATTCGTTTAACAAGATTTGTAAAACTTACTCAATTCTGTTTTGAATTCTCTGTGCCATTCGCTTCTACTAGCTTTTCACCCGTGCTTCGCACGGGATGCATTTTTTAGTAATCAATTAATTATTTGGAAATATATTAAGATGTTGTGATAAATATAGTTCAATGTATATATTGTCTCTAACAAAAGTATATGACGATAAAAAAGTTACTAATTATTACGTATTATATACTTTCTTGTAAACAACATTTACAGTCTTTTTGGCCGGGTTTCAACCATCATCACATATAACAAACTTCAACCCAGACAGGGACATTACTATTGAAACCGTGACGTAAAGTTGTTCATGGGTGAAAACCGGACGACGTAAGAAAATCACCAACCCTCTCCAAAAAGTGTCTCTGGCTCTTATTAATGGTCATCGCGTAACTAAACATCAAATGGAACTGTCTACGCTGAAATGTGAATGACATATGACATTATCTAAGCTTCAGAATAAGAAATGTTTGTCCGGTAATTGTTCCAGACATCATTTGAGCCTCAAGAATATGATTTCCGAGTTTAGTGACGATAAAGCGAGTGTCATTACACAATTCGGGGGAATGATTGGTATTCCTCATTAGCAGCACAGGTGCACCCACTTTCAGCTTCAGCTCATGGCTTGGCGCACCAGAGCATTTAATGGTATTGAGACATTCTGGAGAGTGGGTCTCTTGAAGGAGTACACTGTCTCAGTCAGAAGAAGATGTCGAATAGCTGAAGTATGTCTTTACCTCAGCTGGAGTCGGTCTCAACATGCAAATTTTGTTAATTTGCTTGTCCAAGCTAGAATGGAAGATGCACTCCAATGGTAGGCTAATAGCTTCAAAATTGCAAGCAAATCCCTAGACGTAATCGTTGGAGATGCTCTTAGCCTCTTATGAACATCTCATTTGTGAATTCAACAAAGTTGGTTTCTCTATAACAAATTCAAAAATGCTAAAGGTATCCCAATTTGTACCCCCACCCTATTTTTGTGGCTCACAAAAACAGTTCATTAAAGTGGAGCAATTCATTTATTGAAGTGGGCTTTTGTGAGCCACAAATATAGTCTGGAGTACAAATCGGGGGTACCTATAGCAGGGTTGTAACAAATTATACTCCATCCAACCTGTTGAAAGATTCTCACTTTTCTTATTGGGGCGACCCATTTAATGGGTCTGATTCCATTTTAGAAAATAATTTACTCTCTTTAATTACACATTTAATCAAATTTATTTCTACTTCTCATTACATGTTAAGTCTCACAATTTCTCTTCACCAACTTATCCACATTTAATTACTTTCACTTTATATGATTACTTTTTCTATATTTTCTCTTTCTTCTCTTTTTTACCCAAATTACTTTATTTAATCACTTGTCTAATAAATTGTGTTATTTACCCATGAGAACCTTCCACCTAAACGGATGGAGTAATAAAATATTGTACTTTCCCATGATTTCTCTATCTTGACCCCTACAGTTTATTTGTGATTAATGCTCAGTTAAAAATGCAAATAATTGTGCTACTATGAGCCCGTTTGGTAATACCAAAATTGGCTTAATGGACTGATTACGCTGAAACTTATGAAGGTCTGGCTAAAGTGATTGCATTGGCTGATTCTGCTGATTTATATAAAAATTATATTTAAAATATATTTTATTAATTAAATAGCTAAAATGGTGTACAGTAACTTTAGCCAATACAACCAGAAAAGTAACTTCAACTTTACTTTTTCTTATTATTACACAATTCAGCACGCGAAATAAAAATTACGTGTTCGGTGAAAAAATGGTTCATAAGCCTGATAAGCCGAAAAACGTGATTACCAGACGGGTTCTATATATGTCATCCTGTCAAGGACCAACTTCTTCACAGTAAGGAGAGGCAAATGTCTGCAGTAATAGCATGATTAATAATTTCAAATGACCAAAAACCTAACAATATTTGAAACTATTTATCATTCCAAATTATCAACAAAATTTGACCGAAATTGTAAACCTAACAATATACAAAGTACTTAGGGAGTGTTTGCAACAGCTTAAAAAGGCACTTCTCAGCTTTTGGCTTAGAAAAGCACTTATTTACCAAACACTACCAATTTTTACTTTTTCTCGGCTTGCGTGTGAAAAAATTATAAGAAAAAATAGCTAAAATGACACTCTACAGTAACTTCAACCAATACAGCCATAAAAGTAACTTCAACCTTACTTTTCTTATTATTATACAATTCAATCCGTAAAATCAAAAGTTACGTGTTTGATGAAAAAGTTGGTTTATGAGCTCGAAAAGCCAAAAATAATCAAAAAATAATGGTTGCCAAACGGGCACATAATAATTGCAAACAACAAATGTTTATCATATGATGATGATTGATGATAAAAGTGTCTAGAGATGTTGAACCTACAATATAAGTGTTCAATTGTTGAATCTCGTTCAATTTTTATTCCAACAAACAAACGCTAGAAGTAAACTATATATGTATAAACACATAAATAGTGCTGATACAGTTAGTCAATATGAAAAATAGACAACTTCAAATCATTGTATAAATTAGTACTCTTTTAAAAGTTTATTTGACCAAAGGGAGGTAAGTTTGATAATTTAGAAAAGAAAAATATTGCTTTTTTTTTTGTAAGGAAACAAACGATTGAATCTCAACCATACATTTGAAAAAGGATATCCTCCTAGCCTCTTGGTGAAGTTACAGTTTTGGCCTTCCGCTCCCCCTACTACTACTGAATAGTGAATACTACTGATACGTGATTCAGCTTACTACTAAACTAACCCAAAAAAACAGATCTTCTTTCATCTTCTTCTTCAATCTACTAAGCAAAAACAGAGCCACAAGACAAAGTCATTAACATATAGACAACTTTTTCTACTTTCACAAGTTGCTTCCTCCTATGTTTGCTGACTTCTTAGTTTCTGATACCCCACTTCATTTCCTCTTCCACGAAACCCCCAACAACCTCTTCCTCAATGGAGTGGAACTATATGGTGAAATCTCAATACTACCCCCTCCTGTGTTGCGCTCCCACTGTCACTTGAGCTCCTCCTCCCACTGTTCTTGCTTCCGCTCGCTGGTTTCTTTGACTTCTTGTCATCTTTATTCAGTCCCAATAATGCCCTCCTCGTCTTCCTGCTCCTTATCCTACATGCATTGCATAAAGACTCTGGACCAACATGACCACCTCTCTACAGAGGAGTCTTTGTAGTGCCACAATCAGCACAAGTTTTGGTCTCTGACGATAATATCCTCCATGCGATTGGAGTTTTGCAGATCATTATTTATTCAGATTCTGATCCCATATCACTTAGATCCACTATAGCTAGAACCAACAAAGAGAGCAACTTTCTTCACTTCTCACTCTAATAAACTGAATCAAGAACTGCATAAGTCTTAAAAACACTTGAAATCACAATGATCATGCATAAACTGCACAGATATATAGAAGGTGAAAGACACTCAAGAAAGCAGTTGAAGAGGCCAATCATAGGAAAAGCTTTGAGACCAAAAGGAAAAGCAACCTTTCTGTTCTTCATTGCCATAACTTTTCATCCTGAAATCAAGAAGAGAAAGGAAGAAGACAATGTAATATCATGAACACAAATTTGAAGAGACATGTGAACTACAGAGCATGAGAGCTACTGAGATTGTCATTCTGGTTCTAGTCATATTCAGAAAATGTAGTTAACACTGATGTCAAGAACACCATATCCATTATGCATTTTAAGATTGCCAGAAAAATGATTAATAACATTTCATTTATCTGTTTCAGGACCTGAGAAAGAAAGAAACGATGTTTAACACTTCCTTCAACATATATGGAAATAAAACAGATAAATGAAAATCACTTACTTGAGTCTTATCATAAGATATCACTGAATAAGAGAAAAGTCAAAAAAGTATATTGAACATTACATATTTAGACAAAAAAGTACCATGCAACTCCTCATCCACAAGATTAACAATAAGAAGCATCAATCATAAATGAAAATGGAACTTACTAAAACTCTACTTAAACTTAAAGGTTCCAGAATCTAGAATAAATAAATAAATGTCCATGTTACCTTCAACCAAGTGTGTTTGTGATTTTTCAGGATAAGCTTAAGGAAACTAAATACTCCCTCCGTCCCGCTAAGATTGTCCCTATTCACTTGGTCAACAAAGCCACTCTTAATCTCTTACATTATATATTATTTTTTCTCAAATTTGGTTCTGGTTTTTGCGACTTTGTAAGGTTTTTAAGGTAGTTTCTGAATATGTAAATAAAAAATCCCTAAAAATAATTTGGGTGCGGACAAAGATCTGTTTGCTTAATCCATGTGATCGGGCTCGCAATTAGGGTACTGAAACTTAAAACATAACATCTCATTGATATACACTTTCCCATTTGAGCAATTATATGTCATTCTTCAGTCATAAAAGAAACTAAATGTTAATACCCTTGCCACCAATTACTTCTCTTAAAAATTATATTTCCTCTAGCTAACACCTTCTTATTAGCTAAAATGTGTATTTCAAATCTAAACTTATAATTCACCACAACCAATATTATATCATACTTTAAACAAAAATTATTTTCATTAGATTATAACACAGCCACTTTTTTAAATCAAGTATTCTGATGTTAAATTAGAAGTTCATGCATAACTAAGATTATGACAGAATTATGGCCAAGCAAAAGTTCCAATGACTACTACTGTACAGAAAATAATTTTATACGGAGTAGATTGTAAGAAACATGAGATCTAAAAAGAACAAAAGATCAATTTAAATTGAACTTTAACAAATGTAGAGATATGCAGAATCAAAAAGAGACAATTAAACAAACTTAATGGTTTATATTTATAGTTCAAAGTGCATAAATCGGAAGAAAACTTTCAGTTTTTAAAAATTCTTTTACTTTTCAAACAAAAAAGTGAAAGAATCAGACTTTGAACGTGATTAAGCATAAATAAAGTAGGGGAAATTATAAAAAAATTACTAAAATTGATAGAATTAATTAATAAAATCAATAAAATTAATTAATAAAAGAAGAACAGTACCTTGCTGAATGACAGAGATGGCCATGGCGTCCTTGCCTTCGAACTCAGCTCCTGATTCATTCTTTCCGTCAGCATCTTAGGATTAGATGAAGCACTAATTGATTTGTTGCTGAAAGGGGAAGAGATAAAGGCCCATTGAAGTCGGCTCCTGATTCAACTGCGATTTAGGCATTTTGGGATTAGATGAAGGTGTCGGCTCCCGATCCCTCTGCAATTTCGGAGAGATTGCCTAATCGATTCGTTGTTGTGGGACTTCATCGGCTCCTGATTCATCTGCGTTTTCGGCACCATGGATGAGATGAAGCTTCGCACGACCTTCAATTTGAGAGATGAAGTCTGCTATCTCGATTTGAGAGATGAAGGGTTCCAAGATCTATGAGAAAGAGATTGAGATTTGAGAATGGAGAGAATGGATCGAAATAATTTTAGCCGTAGATAATAAAATGAATCGCGCGGCTTAAGTGGCAATTGCAATGAGCGGGAAAGGCTTGTTTTAGCAAAGTAGTGCAATTATGTAGAGTGATTCCTTAATACTCCGTATTTGTGTGATATTACTACGTAATACGGAGTATATAAGAAGTAGAAAGTTAGACCAATACAAATCATATGTCTCATGTAATTAGTTTGTTGCCATCTCATCCATCAGTTTTGTTCTGGTGGAATGAAACATACTTCGCCCATCCTTTAAAATTTTGTCAAATTTAACCGACGCGTGGATTAATAAAATAAAAACTGTGTGATTGAAATTTGGGTAGAGAAGAGATAATTATTTGAAATCATAAATTTTTACTTAAAAGAGAGGAAATGAAAAAGTTAATGAGATAATAAAAAAAATTGACAAAATTTTAATGGACAAAAGTAATACCTTTCTAGTTTTTTTAAATATGATCTAAACATAAATTTTCAAAACGTTTTTATAGTTATTTTTGAATTTTCCCCTTTTTTATTCATATACACAAACTCCGTATATAACTCGGATTATTTGAAATTTGGCAATCACAAGAAGGGGAATCAATTCTAAAAATCAAATCATGACTCACGGGAGACTTAAAAAGTTACTTCAATCATTTTTTCGTCCTTGATCTTTCAACAAAACACAAGTCCAGACAAAAACCATACCTAAAACAGCCGGCACATAGCACGTTTCCGAGCTAGCTCAGCTCCCACAAGATGATACTCATCCGACAGATTCTTAAACTTCTCCATTAATGGCAAAATCTTATAAGCTCGCCCCGCTTTTCCTCCTCTCCGTCGCCCTCACTTCCCTCGCATCCTCTTCCGCATCAAGTTTCCACCGCCGGCTTCCAGGTAACATCCAATCCTCTGTTTCCAGTTTCCACCCCCTCCCCCTCTCTGTTGGTTTACAAAGTTTCAATCTTTTTCAGAACTGAAGGCTCAGGTTGAAGTCCAAGAAGAACTGCAGCAGCCGTTTGTGGGAGTAAATATAGGCACAGATGTTTCAAATTTCATGTCTCCGCCGGATTTGGTGGCTTTTCTGCACTTGCAGAAGATAACCCACGTTCGTTTATACGATGCTAACCCTGACATTCTCAAGGCACTTTCCAAGACCAAGATTAGGGTTATTGTAAGTGTCCCCAACAATCAGCTTCTCGCCATAGGTTCCTCCAATTCCACAGCTTCTGCTTGGATTGCTCGCAATGTGGCCGCTTATTACCCACAAACCCTAATCACAGCCATTGCAGTTGGAGATGAAGTGTTCACCACTGTCCCCAGCTCATCTCCCATGCTCATGCCTGCAATCGAGTCGCTCTATGCCGCGTTGGTGGCTTCCGGTTTGGATAAACAGATCAAGATTTCGACCCCGAGTTCGGCTTCCATTGTCTTAGACCCGTTTCCTCCTTCCCAGGCCTTTTTCAATCAAACCCTAACCTCAGTTATTTCTCCATTGCTGCAGTTTCTGTCTAGGACCCAGTCTCCTTTGATGATGAATTTGTACCCTTACTATGTGTTTATGCAGAACAATGGGGTTGTCCTTCTGGAGGATTCACTCTTCAAGCCGTTAAGCCCCTCCAAGGAAATGGTGGACCCCAACACTTTGCTTCACTACACGAATGTGTTTGATGCAATGATAGATTCTGTGTATTACTCTATGAGGAATCTGAATGTTACAGATGTGGTGGTTCTTGTCACTGAGACCGGGTGGCCTTCAAAGGGGGATTCTAAAGAGCCGTATGCCACAATCAACAATGCTGACACTTATAATTCAAATTTGATCAAGCACGTTTTTGATCGTACAGGGACACCTCTCCATCCAGAAGTTACTTCTGATGTGTATATATATGAGCTGTTTAATGAGGATTTGAGATCTCCTCCAGTTTCTGAGGCTAACTGGGGTTTGTTTCATGGGAATTCGTCGCCTGCTTACTTGCTTCATATGTCTGGAAGTGGTTCATTCTTGGCTAGTGACACGACAAATAAAACGTATTGTGTGGCCATGGATGGGATTGATAAGTGGACTTTGCAGGCTGCATTAGATTGGGCTTGTGGACCTGGGAAGGCTAATTGTTCAGAAATCCAGCCCGGGGAGAGCTGTTATCGGCCCAATGGAGTTAAGAACCACGCGTCTTATGCGTTTGATAGCTATTACCAGAGACAAGGGAAAGATGCTGGTTCTTGTGACTTCAAAGGTGCAGCAACTGTTACCACCACTGATCCAAGTAAGTCCACATGCTGCTTTTTTTTTTGTTTTGTTTCATGAATCATGAGTAGTAGTTTATAATTTCCCATGTAATATATACTCCGTATATATTTAGTGATCAATGAATTTGATGTTTAGGATGATGCCAAGTCACTGTATTCCCCTTTTTAGTAACTGGGAAATGCTTTCAGCAGCTAATGCATTTTGAAAGCATTTTTGGTTTAATGTTTAGGCTGATGCCAATTCCAAATATAGTATTAACACCGTTCCGAAAAAAGAGTCATGTATCCCTAGATACTACTCTTTTTGTAAGGTACTACATCCATCCCATTTCATGATGTCCTACTATGGTTTAGCACAATAATTAATAAAGTGGTTGAACAAGTAAAAATTGTTGTTGAGATTTGAGTATAATAAAGTGAAATGTTGTAGACCATATATTTCTTTCCAAAAAAAGGAAATGTGACACTTATTTTGGGATAACTCAAAGAGGAAAAGAAGACAGGTAAAATGGAACGGAGGGAGTACAATTTACCATAAATAATCAATTATTGCTATATTTTTAAATTTATTTGTAGTGTCAACTAAAGTTTACTTGTTTAGTACCCTTCTTTAAAGGTTTTCTAATATGTGCCCTTAAGACCCGTGATAAGAAATAATAAATGACTATCTAATATTTGTAGTTTTCTTAAATTGTCTTTGGTAATGGTGATAGATGTTTTAGTATTAGTGATTGATAAGGGGTAATCATACGATTTTTAAAAGGAAAAATTGAAAATAATAATCCCAACTATTGGCGGTCCGCTGACAATAATCCCAACTATTGATTATTTTTGTATAATCCCAACTATATAGACCGTCCGCCAATAATGGTCCATGACCAGATATTACCTCCACTAACAAATGAATTTTAAATAGAAATTAAGCGTAAAAATTAAACATTGAGATTATTTATAGGGATTACTTGCTATATCTCATCTCATTCACTTAAGAAACTACAAGAATTTATTTATAGGGACCATTATTGGCAGAAAGTCCCTAAAGTTGGGATTATTCTGGAATAATCAATAGTTGGGATTATTATGAGCGGACCGCCAATAGTTGGGATTATTACAATCAATTTTTCCTTTTTAAAATCACATTTTTATTTTATTAAAAGCATCAGATGGTATCTAGAAACTTGGAAATGAAGCACACTATGCGCTCTCATGTGCCCTGTGCAGTGTTCAACTGTTCACACATTAGAAAAACCATATTTAAAATATTACATAAAATGTACTAGTATTAAAAATTAGCTTCTTTGCTCAAATATGACTCTTCTTTTGGGACAAAAATATGTTTTAATGGTGAACTCTTTTCTTTGTTGGGACGAAGGTAGTATTTATTCAAGCATATGGCTTCAGTACATTTTGAATTTTCATCTTAATCGTTTTTTCTCTGTTTTCCCATTGTGGGCAACATAATGCAGGTCATGGGAGTTGTGTGTTTCCTGGAAGGTGAATGAAGTTTCTATATCTCTAGTACCAAAAGAATGCAGTCCATACATATATATTGGGGGAAAGAAGTCAGAGAGAAATTTCTTATTTTGGCCTCTCAATTGTTCTGGATCCTGTGATTTAGTCATAATTCATTCCCTCAATTATAAAAAAGTTTTCAGTTCTGTCTCTCACGCCATAAAGCTAATGCTATTATTACAAGACAATAGGAAAGGAGGATACACATGCTTTTAGAAAATCGCAAAAGATGCCCAAGTTGAATTAGTCCATCCATATCTATGGTGTGACTTGTGAGGGACTTCATTGATTCCTTTTTCAATATTTGGGGGAGTGAACTGCACCCAATTGACAATGAGGGACTACATTGCATAAATGAGAACAATTGAGTGACCGAAATACTGACACCCCAAGATTTAATTCTAATGGCCTTAAAACCCGTTTTTGTTTGGTTGCAGTAAGAATGAAAGCAAAAATGGAACACATATGATAGTGAACGCAACGGAAACAAGTGGTGCATGCACAATGAGGTTCACCCAAACAAATTCATACACCTTGCTCATTCTCTGGAGTGCTGTCTTCTGTTCTATGTCTTTTTCATTTCGCCTGTGACCAAAAATTTTCAGGTACTAATGATGTTACTAGTCATCATCCTCTTTAGAAGAATAATTTTGTTTAAATGGACTTTTAATAATATTACAAATACTAGTTTGCAGATAGATGTTTTTGTTTACTTAGATGAGGCCATTCGTAAAAATCTTGTATTTATTGAAATTCTTGGAAAAGTCGAAGACAGCAATAAGCAGAAGAAAGTTGGAAGGTGAGACTCAAGAGATCAGACATGAACGCAGTTGGTTTCAATTCTTACCCTTCTGATTTTTATGCTTTCTTCCATTCACATGTTATTCACGGGCAAGTTGATATGAATAAACTACCACCATTTTGGCAATGAGGCTGATACTTTGTTGTATATCAGTTGTAAAAATCACAATTACTAATTTATGATAATTTTGTGTTTGTGTTGCTCCTTTATAACAATATTTATATTAGTTGCATTTTTTTCTACTACGTTTTATATATAGCGAATACCAGGTATAGTTGTGTATCTTATTTTAGAGTATATGTATACATTTGCTAGGAGTGCACCTCTAAAGGCTACAATGTTATACTATCTACAATGTTTAGAATTATGAAAAAGGTAAGAATGGAAATATTATCAAATATGGTATGAGACAAATTTAGTGGGACAAATGAAAAAAGTAAATACTTTATTGACACCCAAATGCTAAATTGCAAGTGGTGCAAATTTTTAAAACTCACTCAAGAATAAGAAAATCAATATATATATATATATATATATATATATATATATATATATATATATATATATATATATATATAGTACTCTTCCGGTCAGGAATTCCTGACCGGAACCGCTGTCCGGACGGCGGCGTTTGGCCGCCTTCCGAGTAGAATTTTTTGATGAAATTTTTATGACATGTTCACCATCAAGTCTAGTTTATCCACAAAAAATTTCAGCCAAAAACTTATTCGGGAAGGTCGTCAAATGATTTTTGCAAGTTAACTGGTCCGGAATATGTATTTTCCGGACCAGTTAACTTGCAAATATCATTTGACAACCTTTTCGATTGGGTTTTTTTTGGCTGAATTTTTTTTTGGATAAACTAGACTTGATGGAGAACATGCCATAAAAAATCCATCAAAAAATACCACCGGGAAGGCGGCCAAACGCCATCGTCTGGACGGCGGTTCCTGTCCGGAATTCCGGACATGAACATTTGTGTGTGTGTGTGGGTGTGTGTGTGTGTAAGAAGAACTTTTTAAGAGCATACAAAACGCCACATAATCCTGACATGTCATTATATATAACAATTATTTAGTTATCTTTATACCTTTTGTTCAACAATATTTCTATGGTCTTTTTGGTAATCCAAGGTCCGGCCATGTCTTTTGTTAAACAAGATTGCCTAACCTTAATTGATTACCAAAAAGTTACCAAATTCTATTTTTGATTGCTTAACATTATATTAAATATGCCTTCACTTTTGAAATAGCTAGATTCCTAATCCAAATTAGGAAATCTTTATATATTTACGAATTTCTAATTTTATTCAATATAATATAATGTTTGTAATTGGATTGATTTCAGTTCCAAACAAAATCAGAGCAAATCAAACTTTAATATTAGTAATAATAAGTCACATAAAATGTAAAATAGACATGTACCACCATATTAATTCAAACCAAATCAAACCCGAAATTTTAATTCTATTAAAAGTGTCCTTATTACTGAGTAAAATGTAATATCTCACAATTAAAATTTAAAAATGTGTATTTCATACCAAGTTGAATGAGAAATATTAGAAAAGTATTATTGTGAAATGCTCAATAAAGTAATTTAGACATTCATAAAAATTAAAAATCGTTTTCAATGTAACGAAATAATGAGTCATTTTTTTAAAACCATTTTTTTACATTTACAATGTGACAAAATAATGAGTAAAATGTAACATCATAGGAGTATTATTAAAGGTTAAAAGTATGTACTCAATATTTCATATCAAGTTGAATGAGGAATATTAGAAGAAATCTATGTAGTACGGAAGCTCTCGGGAAAGAGTACGTTTCCCGTTTCGGAAACTCTGGGAAACTCTTGGAAATTCTTTTGAAACTCCCCAAATAAGTTTTTTTTTGAGCAAATGTTGCTGTTTCCCGTTTCCCGTTTCCTCATGATTTTCGTGTTTCCGTGCAACATAGGAAGAAATACTTGAGGTGCATAATAAAGTAAATTAGAGAGCGTGAGATTATGAATTTTTTAAGATCACGCCGGTTCATAACAATAATGTTTACTTGAGATGATTATGTAGAAAACCATTTTAACTATATTGCATATAATTGTATCTTTGTTTTACAAATGGAATATATTTTACATATTTTTTCATGATTCAAGAGATTCCACCTATTCAGCTAGAATTTAATCAATTTCGAAAAAATAGGCTAATTCGACGGATTTTAGTATTATCAAACAGACTATATATTAAACTGTGTTTATTTTGCTTTTGCATCACATTATATATGATCCTGAAAAAAATCAAATTTAAGTTTACATAAATTACATACTACCATCGCACGAGCTTGAAAACTAGTGCAAAATACATGAAAACACATTATCTTCATGTGGAACTTCCACAGTGGAAGTAAGCTAGCTCTTGAAGTTCATTAATGAAGCTGTAAAGATTGTTGCAGAGATGAGGGTGTAAGGGGTAAAAAGACGCCTTTCATGAAGGGTTACTCCTGTATTTATGGGAATGTGATAAACCTTTTCTACCATAATGAGCCTAGGGTTCATTGTTTCACTATTATTAGGAGTGGGGTAAGTTTTTCTACCAATTAATCCAATAGCCAAATCTAAAGAAGGATATAATTGAAGATGAATAATTTATGATTTTTATTTTTCTTTACAGAACCCACAACGTACGGTTTAATTAATCTATATATTATATTATAAAACGCAAAAGTCTAGAGGAGTTTGGGCGGGAAGTGCAAAAGGAAGCAGTTGACCTAAATGTTTTTGATAATTTGGGAAAAAAGCTTTGTAAATTACGGAGTATATAATAATACAATAAAAAGCGACAAAGCATTAAATGCACTCGGCTGCAATTGGATGATAGGCAACGCAATACTTCGTAAATCAAAATGATTTGGCATACCACTAACCACTTAAGTGTATGTACGTGTAATTAATTGTTCTTTAAACAAATTGAATATATCCCGTAATTCCAAAAGGTGGTGTAATTAATTGGACGGTAAAGGCATTTTGCAATTCCAAAGTAACTCATTCATTAAATAGCGCATGGATCGGAGTGATGTTTGAACTTCTGGAGGTTTTTTATTGTAAATCACTGCATGCCCTATATATATAAAGATGGTAGTTGTTGGATCCCTGATCGAGCGAAATGGTGGTGTTGTGGTTTTGTCGCAGATGTATTAGCAAGATCGGTGGAGGGTTTCGATGACCACTGGGTTTGGTAATCTAATTAAGGAGGTTGACGTTGCAGTCATTGATGGGGTTTGAGAGAGCAGTAAGTCCAGTAACCAGCCAATATTTCGTTCACTGATGGCATTTGGGAGGGCGATGGAATGAGGAACGACAAGGTGTTTGTTGGGAAAAGAAATTAAAGGACTGAAAGTCAAGCCAGATTATTCTGCTACCGGGGTTGCCTTTTCCCATTTGACTTCTTGATTAATCACGTTGCCACTCAAACGCTCAAAGAGTGATGATTAATTTAGTCATTATCTTCTCCATTTTTATTCTTTTATGTTTCACTGAAGATACTTATTGAGCTAAATTTCACCTCTCTTTGTAGTAAACATGTTATGAATCACAAACATAAACAGGTCTTTGAATGAGCAGACTCAAATACAATTTGTCGAAATTCTATGACTTTTTATATTTCTCATAAAGCAAACAACATTTCCTAAAACACAATTATACAAGTATTTGTCGGGGTGGAATTGTTTAAATCCTGTAATTATAGTTTAGTCTTGATTACGAGTATAATTGAAGAGATACGAGTTTTACTGTATTATACGGAGTGTAATACAGTACTTTGGACAAATTTCCACAATGATGCATCCTGCTGCATGATGTGTGTATGCCTAGAGGCCCTAGAATACCATAAAACATACTACCCCTTTCCTAAAAATCCTTTCCAGTTTGATTTGGCACGCTTATTAAGAAAGCAAAATAAAATGAAAATGTATGGTTGTGGATGTGTAAGAAAATGGTAAAATGAACGTGCCTACACAAATTGTCCAAAAAGGAAAGTGGGAAGTATTTTTGAGAACGGAGGGAGTATTGATTACATGTAATGTTTTTTTACTTGATATGATAAAATGATTTATTAAATCATTTGCATAATTATACTTAGGTGAATTAATTGAATGTTTGTAAAACAAACAAAAATTTGAATATGTTGGTGGAAGAATCGACTACACTTCTCAACATTATTGTTATTATATTCAACTTCAGTAAAAAATAACTACATCTCCACAATTATCAATGTCGGTGCTTAATAATGTGTTTTTTAACTGCAGGGATTGGGGGACCTGGGATAAACTGGTATCGATCTTACTTCATTGATAATTGAACTTGGGACCTCACATAAGAGTAAACTGGTATCAATCCCCCATTGAAAAACCCATTGAAAAATTCATTTTTCAAATAATTTTTTACACATAAAATTTACATTAAAAATACAAAGAAATCCGAAGTTTGGGGTGAGCCGAGGCCCGATTGACCTCCTCTCTAAGTTTGGGGAAAGTTAGTTGGCGACCAACTTATCCGGACCGCTTAATAATGTGTGTATATTATAAAGTGTTATCTAGCAAGAAAAATATCTCTTGGTCATAAAATTATATTTTCGTGATATTCATAAAAGGAAACGTAGAATCGAATAATTTATTTGTACAAGTCTACGAGGTGGGATGTGTTTAAGAGCTAAAGTGCACTTTTAATTTATTTATGTTAATTAATTATTTTCTAGAGCTATATGATTTACTAAAAATCCTCTACTATAAAAAAATATGGGATTAACAATGATTTTTTCCATAGATTTGTCAAAATTCATACAAGATTTGGCAGAAGTATGCCAAATTTTTGCTAAAAGGTGGTGGATAATAAGAGATGGAAATCCATTTTAAGTGATAAATTAAATGTGTGGTAAATCAATTTTTCTTTTCTCTACAAATCTCAATTACATAATTTTTACTTCATTATTTTATGGGCATATTAAACTTGGCCGAAATTTACAAGAAGAATAAAGCATGCATTATTCATATTATTTAAAAAATTACTATTCTATATGCAAAATATATTTTCCCGTGCATCGCACGGGTACTAAACTAGTTACGGAGTATGACATTACATAAAACCAAACATGAATTGATAGGAACCCTAAAACCAACTGTGTACACATATTTGGTAGTGGTATAACAATAATTATTTAATTAGATAAAAGATGTTGAATTAGATTTTTATATCAACAACGTTTTTTAGAAGAAAATCGAATACCAGCAAAATCACAAATAACATCCAACTCGAAGAAAACAAACAAGCTACAAAGATAAGAAACCATAGTTTGGCGATACGCCCTTGGACCAGATATAGAATCAGTCACATAAAAAGAAGTCACCTGATTTGCTAATCATCACTAGGGTAATTGTAAGCCAATTATGATTGGTCTAGATTCCCTATCGCTTATCCTCTTCTGACTCTGACCCAGAAAGATAAATAAAACAAAAATCAAGTTTCATTGGGCAAAACAAACCCCACGGGAAAAAACCTACAAGCCTTACCAAACAAATTAAAGGAAAACCCAAAAAAAGAAACATAGTACTTTAACGAAAAATCTTGCAAAGGATTCCTAGGTGGTGGTTCAGGAGAGGGGGCGAACTGTCGGTCTGTCTCCCCCCTCGATCAGCCCTTCACAGCTTCCCATTCATTCATTGCCCGTGTCGTCTCCACCATTATCTATTATTTTTAGCAACCAAGGTGAAGCCACCACCGGAAAACACCTGGGAGATCCCTAGACTCACCCACTGTTAGATAGCACGCAGAAATTAAAACGCCATGGTGATCTACACGTCGCAGGTGTCAGCGCAAACGTTTAATTAAGGCAAGTTCCAACATAAATTTAATAAATAAAAAACAAAATGTTGAAATAAAAGAAGAGGAAGAAGAAGAACGATAATACAATACCAATCGACTAACTAATTAATAAGTTAGCTCTTTCACAATTTACTAATAGTTCAGCACATCGAAAATTATTGTACATATAAAAACACCACACAAGACACAACACACCTAATTATTCTTCACCTCTTTCACAATTTACTAATAGTTCAGCACATCGAAAATTATTGTACACATAAACACAACACACAAGACACATCACACATAATTATTCTTCACCACAACACACAAGACTCAACACACATAATTATTCTTCACCACAACGCACATAATTATTCTTCACCACAACACACAACAAGACACAAGACAACACATATGTCTATCGGCCAATTTAACCATGCTATCAGCCGGTTTATCCTTATTACTCCGTATAAGTTTGAAAAAAGTTTCGATTTTTCAATTGAGTTACTACTTCCGTCCCCCAAATATTAAGAGGGAAGGGAGTAGTACGGAAGGGGTGGTGTACTTTTTAAGAAAAGTAGAATTATTTGATTGATAATAATTCTTTTTGGCAATGTGATTTCTGCAAAGTGTTCTGAATGTCAAAGTAAGAATGGATTATAGGGGGTGTAAAGAGTATTTGTTTTGAGTTTGGTGTCCCCACCTTTAGATATATATAGTACTCCTTCCATCCCAAAAAATCTTTCAACATTAACTTGACACGCGTATTAAGCAAATGAGAATACAGTGGAAATGTATGATTTTAGTTGTGTAAAAAAAACTAAATGAATGTGAGCCACACAAAATTTCCAAAGTGGGATGAATATTTTGGGACATCCCAAAATGGAAAGTTGAATAATTTTATGGGGCGTAGGGAGTAGTTCCTTCCAATTTAAATTTCTCAATTGGTTTTTTGAATGTCCCATTTTTTTTGTATTTTAAGAAATAATGATATGGAGTAACCTAGTCATCAACTATTTAAAATAATACATTTATAACATAATAAGTACTTCCTCCGTTCTTTTTTAATTGTAACAGTCAACATATTTAAAATTTATGTTTGATCATTGATATCTTTCATTCCTTATTAGTAAAAAAATTAAAAAAATCAGATTGTGAAAATTTAAAATGAGATGAATTTAACAATATTTTTCAAAAAATTTAATTTATAAAACATTGATAAATAAAATATAGTCAAAGTTGAATATGTGAATAGTGCAAAATCACCAATGTTGCAATTAAAAGAGAACGGAGGTAGTATTATCAACGATCTCATTATATCATACTATCTTTTTTTTTTTGTAACTGGGAGGCTTATATTGATAAAAGAACACACAGCAAGGGACAATAATGATAAAGTAAGCACTTCTGACCACCGACCCTCGAATCAGCTGGAGAATCAATCACCTTAAAAAAAGCAATATGATTCGCTGATCCTATCATGGGTCTACATGAGCCAAACGTGACCAGAGTAAAAACCTCATCACCCCCGCCAAGTGTAAAAGTCTGGAATAACATGATCACAGTAATTGAAAGGAAAGCGTACGGATAAAATAAAGTAAACTCAAAGATAAACAAAACGTGGAAATTGTAAAGTAGTCTGAAGCAAATGAACGAGCACCAGCATCCCTTCCCGGCTGCAACCTTCTTCAAGGAATGTGGCGGGTCAAGGCATCTAAACCCGCCCCCTCCCCGTTTTTTGGGTCCAGCACCATAGTCTCGCCTCCTTCTCCTGCTACGCCAGATTCTTCCCATGTCCTTCTGCGCTTTGGCTCTCCACTCTTGTCCTCCATAGCTGTTGCATCCGTGTTCCCTCCTCCGCCCTTTGAGGCACTTACTGAAGCTATGCCCCAATTTTTCCTGCCCGGTCCCGAACTGCCCCCCTCCTCGCGGGCTGCCCTGCTTTCCTCCTCCGGTCCGTCTGAGATGATCCATTTGTTTCCTCTCTCCTGTCGTGCCTTCCCTCCCCCTCCTGCTCGTAGATGGATCCCATACGGCCTGATAGTATCCGTACCATCCTTCTCATACACTAAAGGACAAAACCTGTCAGAGTGCCCTATAATACCACAAGAAAAGCAGAAACTAGGCAGCTTCTCATATTTAAAATCCACCCAGTATCCTTCACCCCGCCCCTTCCTGAGTGTGGTCCCAATCTTCATAGGTTTGCCCACATCCAAGCAAGCCCTAACTCTCATATACGGCTTCCACTTTTTATCATACCAGGGTTTTTCCCAGTTAACAAAAGTTCCAACAAAATTTCCAATTCTCCTAGCCACACTCAGATTCATAAAATCATAAGGAATATCATGGACCTGAACCCAGAATTTGGCCTCATTTAGAGGAACACTGAGTGGGACATCCCCGGGCTGCAACGCCCGAAGAACTAGCAAATTCTGTTCAAAAATCCACGGTCCATCTTCAAGTACACGTTTCATGTCTATAGGATGATAAAAAGTAAACATATACCTTTTTTCGTCGATTGCTTTAATGGAGATACCCTTACCAGGCATCCAAAGTGAGGCCATAAGATTGCGAAGTGCCGAAAAATTCACCATCTTGTTGGTTATCACAGTCCCTACCACCGGATACAGTTCTTGCTTGCCCAAGCCATCCTCCCCTTCGAGAGCCTCCTCCTCAAAGACCAATTCCTCTTCCTGATCCCCAATCACCATGTCCTTGTATTTGTTAGCGATCTCTTCCATCTTCTATCAAAGAAATGGCCGAGAACCACCTGCCCCCTGTTCTCGAAGCTAAAGCCGAAACCAAGCCAACAGGCAATAATCGAAAGCAAAAACCGAAAGCAAGAACCGTGCGTCCAAAAACCTGGCCAATACCTTTCCTCTCCTAAGCAGCAAAACGAGCCAAAACGTTCTTCCCTTCCCGATCATACTATCTATTAGATTACATACATAAAACTATTTCTTAAAATATACTTAAATAATTTTATTTAATTGTACTTTAAATAATCATGTCATTTTTAAATAAAAAGTTTAAAGTGGGAGTAAAGTACAACTCCCTCCGTCCATAAATTAACTTCCAAAGTAAATTTGACATGTCAATTAAGATAATGAGTATTGTATGGTGAAAAGTTGTGCAGATGACAAACAAATGTATAAGAATATGTAAGAATGATTGTGAATCACAAATTATTTATCAAAAATAGAAAATGAAAATTTATTTTGAGACGCTCAAGAAGTGAAGTTGGAAGTCTAACCAGGAAGGTATGGAGTAAAATGTGGGTCATTCTTGGTGTACACAAAATGTGTATGTGTATATATATATTATACATTTCCTGTGTACACATGCAACTAGGGTTGTGCATTAACTGGGTCGGACCGTATTTCAGACCTGAATCGGACCAGAATGAACCAGTCCAGACCGGAATGAACCAGTCCGGACCGGACCTGTATTAACCGGTCCGGGTTTCGGTCCTTAGTTGTTCAAGATTTCGGGTTCCGGTCCGGGTCAAACCCGGAAAAAGAACAAGCCCGGACTGGAATGGACCAGTAATATACTGTTCCGTAAATATATTATATATACTTCGTTATGTATCATTAGTTATTATGTTTATGTCTTACTTTTGTCATTTATTATATAAACGAATATATACAAAGTGTATATTCAGTGTCTATTTATTTCCTAAGTCGTTTTTTATTTGTTTATTTATGCGCATATGTGCACTACTATGATTTTTCCAAATTTCTTTTTATTTGTTTCTTTATTTGCAGGTGTTATGTAATTTAGTTTTTATTACTCTAAAATAGATTTTGCCATTTTAATATACACTGTTGAGGTTTTGTCCCGTAGATCCGGAAGCCCAACATAAACTTCGGATATTAAGGACGATGGATTCGGTATAACCATAAATAAAATATATAAAAGGTGTATGAACTAGCTATTTTTACGTGGAAACCCGGAAAGGGAGAAAACCACGGGACTTTTTAGGCTAACGTCCAAGCCCGCTCTTTCTCATTAATATCCTCCCATCACTCAATACATATTTTGCATAGTACAAATAACTTGGAGCCTCCATTAATGGAGCTCATGTTGCTAGCTACAAAGGGAGAAGAAGAAGAAGAAGAAGTAATAGATGGAGAGAGCCAGGAGAGCCTTTTCATTGGGTGGAAGCCTTCCTTCCTATTTATAGGAAAAGGAGAGGGCTTTACTATTCTAACAAGGCCTTAATGGGCCGAAGCAGGACCATGTGGGCCAAAATGGGCCGGTTGGCCTAAATGGGCCTCGCTAATGGGCCCCGTACCGGGGTGGTGTCTTGGGCATCTGAACAGTAGTAGGCCGGGGTAACATACCCCAACACAAGTCCCCCAGTTTCTTGAGTAGTGAGCCTACAAATCTACTCGAGAAAGTATAATCCTGCTCACGTCCTTCCCTGCCTTCCCTGAATCAGAGTCTTTGAACAAAGTATAAATGATGAACGAGGTGCAGTCCCTCGCTAGGCACGGCGGCACTGAAAAGCCACCCACTTGTGCTGCATAATATGGCGGTCATCCTTTCAGATTAGGAATCGACGACTCGCCCGAGAAGTAGGCACGATGGCACAGAGGAGCCACTCGTGCTGCATAACATGACGGTCGCTATCCCAGATTAGGGACTGATGAGCCCAGTCAAGAAATAGGCACAACGGCATTGAGAAACCGTTTGTGCTGCATAAGGCGGCGGTCGCCATCCCAGATTAAGGATAGACGAGCCCATCTGAGAGCCAGGCACGACGGTGCTGTGGAGACCGTGCGTGCTGCATAAGAGCGACGGTCGCCATCCCAGAGCAAGGATGGACGAGCCCGCCAGAAAGCCATGCACGACGGTGCTGTGGAGCCCGTACGTGCTGCATAAGAGCGACGGTCACCATCCCAGAGAAAGGATGGACGAGCCCGCCAAAAAGCCATGCACGACGGTGCTGTGGAGCCCGTACGTGCTGCATAAGAGCGACGGTTGCCATCCCAGAGCAAGGATGGACGAGCCCGCCAGAAAGCCAGGCACGACGGTGCTGTGGAGCCCGAACGTGCTGTATAAAATAAGTGATCGTCATCCTAGATTAAGGATGGACGAACCTGACTCGGACAGACATGGACTTGACTCGACTCAGACAGACCTGGACTTGACTCAGACGGACATGGACTTGACTCGACTCAGACAGACCTGGACTTGACTCGAGACCACTGCGGGCCATCATGAATTCACATCACCTCCCAGCCAATTTATATCCCCCGTTCGCTCGCCTTCGCCGAACGGGTCGTTCTCCCCTGGTCGTTCCGAACAATAGTTCCATTCGCCCGTTCGTCCCACTAGAACGGTCTGATGTACAACGATGATCACGTCGTGCCGAGGTGGCTGATCGTAGAGCTACAGAAGCGGTCAGATCATCTGGATAATAGGTAATTTCTGCTATAAGTCAGCACCAGGGTTAAGGTGCAAGCTGTTCGGCTTATTTCCGCCATTTGTTCGTAGTTTCCTGATCCGCAAGGCATCACCTCTTGCTGCCTGCTGCCTTGTAGGCCCAAGGCTGATGTAACTTGTTCGTGTTATCATCCGTGTTCTTCCTGATCCGCAAGGCAATCACCTCTTGCTGCAAGACAGTTTCACAATTTGTGTAGTGTCTGCCATCTTCCAAGCCCATAATTCCGATGCATACCGTCGGTTTTACCGTCCGGGGTCATCCATATCATGAGGTTGAGATGTCCATCCTGGACCATTGAGAATAAGGCTCCCAATTCGGGTCTCCCCCTTATTCTCTGCCAAAATGGAGACTCGCCTCCAGGTCACAGCTCGGGTTCCACCATAATAAATCACTACATCGTGGTTCGGGCGAGCTGCATAGCCAGGGCGAGATTTTAAGACCAGAGTCCCGATCCCCCGCTCGGTCACCCTATGCTTTCGGATGCCGCCCGGTTCGTCCTACTCAAGATCTTTTACACCATCTCCCAAGCTGAGTCCGGGTTTGGTTAACCTGCATCTTCATTTTCATTTTTTTTTCTTTTTTTCTTTTTTTTTTGTGCTGAGATGGTGGCTCCCCATGGATCGAGACAAGTGGTATCTATCGATCGAGGTGAGACTTTATGGAATGTGAAGATGCCTCCTAAGCAAATAATGTCGTGCCGTGGGGCTGATCATGATATGAGGAACATCAATAAATCCAAGGGTCTTGCGAGCGCCCTCTGCTCAAGGACAGCGGCAGCAACTGCGGCAGCGGTCCACAAAATGTAGCCATGCTGAAAGTCAAGCAATGGTCCTCATCCGCGCAGTGCGGGGACGAGGCCGCTTTTCAAAGATGATAAACACGTAGTGCCGACAGGCTGATCGTGATATGATGATGTCGGCAATGAGAAGCCAACCTGAAAATCAAGCAGCGGTCCTTATCCGCGCAGTGCGGGGACGAGGCCGGTCTTCAAATATGATAATGGCACCGTACCAGAGGGTCGGTGGCCATGTAATGAGGTCGCCACCGGGGGCTGATCGGAAAGGAACAAGCAACAGTCCTTATCTGCGCAGTGCGGGGACAAGGCCGGTCTTCAAATATGATAAGGGCACCGTACCAAAGGGTCGGTGGCCATGTAATGATGTCGGCGCTGGGGGCCGATCAGAAACAAATAATCAACGGTCCTCATCCGTGAGGAGCAGAAATGAGGCCGGTCTTCCAAATGATCACCATGCCGAGCCAGAAGAGTCGGTCGTGGTGAGAGAAAAGTCGGCGCTGGGAGGCCGATCTGTAAATCTGAGGGTCTTACAGGCGCCCTCAGCCCATAATGTTGCTCTAGGTGCCGAACGGCGGAGGCCGGATTGCCAGTCAGGTAGCGTAATTTGAAAGCTCGTGTATCGTTAAGTCCATAGGACTTCCCTTCATGTGTTGTGACATCTATACATTTGTAGTCTCTTCTTTTCTCAATCGTCCATGATTCCTTCTACACACTAGTAACCTCACTCTCTCTCTCACTCCTTTTTTTTCTTTTTTTTTTTGCCCTTTTTTTTTTCGAACCACGAATATCCCTGCGTTTCACAATCTCCCCGTCCGAGCTGGTCGAACGGCTCTAAATGTAAATATTCCTTCTTTTTGTTGCCAATCATGAACGTCTTTGCGCTTCATGATGAACGTCATAAACATCTCTGTGCTTCATGACTTCCCCGTTTGGGCTGACCGAACGCCTATGAATGTGATTCTTTTCTGCCGGTCATGAATGTCTCTGTGCTTCATGCCGAGCATCATAGATATCTTTGTGCTTCATGATTCCCCGTTCGAGCATATCGAACAAATTTTACTGCACAATAAGCATGGTAATACGGCCGAACGACCGAACAACATATACAAGTATATACAATTACACATGTATAATATTTCCTTTTATTTATTTTTTCTTCATGACTACCGGCCGAAGCGGTAATAATAACCCTCGGCCTAGATTTATTTCTCCCCGTACTGGGTATAGTTGCCGTTCGGGCATTTAATGCCGAACGAGACCTTGAGTGGTCTTCAAATCAAAATACGTCATCGGGCCACGCCCTTGCGAGACGCTTTAGTCAATATCATTTGGGCCGAACGGGAGTGGACCAATCATTCAATTTAAAATGATGGTGAACTCATTACTAGAGCTTCGCTCAGTTATTATTTAACTCGGGATATTTTAACCCCTACTAAACAAATAATGGCGATGTGTAATTTACTACATCAAGTCATTCAATATTTTCATGGATGTCCGGCCTCACCGAGCGGGTCCAAAGATGCCTCGACCGCTAATTAAGGCTGATCGGGGTAAGCTCATGACCCCCACTTCAACCAATCATTTTATTTAAAAATGACGGTGTACTTTAATCATTGGGGCCTCGTTCGGTATTATTTTGCTCGCTCAACTAATAGCAACTAATACATGTCATCGGAGTAATGCCGCTCGGGGCACTTCGGTCGCTTTATTACAGCCTACCGGTAGGTTTTGTCCCGTAGATCCGGAAGCCCAACATAAACTTCGGATATTAAGGACGATGGATTCGGTATAACCATAAATAAAATATATAAAAGGTGTATGAACTAGCTATTTTTACGTGGAAACCCGGAAAGGAAGAAAACCACGGGACTTTTTAGGCTAACGTCCAAGCCCGCTCTTTCTCATTAATATCCTCCCATCACTCAATACATATTTTGCATAGTACAAATAACTTGGAGCCTCCATTAATGGAGCTCATGTTGCTAGCTACAAAGGGAGAAGAAGAAGAGTAATAGATGGAGAGAGCCAGGAGAGCCTTTTCATTGGGTGGAAGCCTTCCTTCCTATTTATAGGAAAAGGAGAGGGCTTTACTATTCTAACAAGGCCTTAATGGGCCGAAGCAGGCCCATGTGGGCCAAAATGGGCCGGTTGGCCTAAATGGGCCTCGCCAAATGGGCCCCATACCGGGGTGGTGTCTTGGGCATCTGAACAGTAGTAGGCCGGGGTAACATACCCCAACATACACAAAAGACCGTAGTTTTTTTTGTATATTGTTAAACAAATGGCTTTATATTAAAATCGAGAACACATACAAGATAGTCTTCATACAGATTTTACAGATCCAATCGTGAATCCTAGGAGTAGACATAGAATCAGTCACTTCATACAAAGCAACCTGACTCGCTAAACCTGAAACGTACAAATTTAAGCCTAAAACGAAAGGATATGAAAATCTGCCTATCAAAAGAACTCCAAAAAACCAAACATTCATACCAACTCTTCCCACAAAACTCTTCCTGGGATAGATGGAGGTGGTTTCGGAGGAGGACAAACTCTTGTAATATGGGTGAACACCAACTCCACCACCATCGGAGCAGCCGACCAAGGCTTCACGATCCAACACCGATACAAACTCTCAGCCGCAATCCATTTATCCGCCAACGTTATCTCCTTCGACGTAGTTGCAATCCCAAGCGTTAGAACACTTGCAATCAGAATAATTTGCCGCTCCAGCCCCATATTGATATGGGCGGCGGAAAATCTCAATCCCTACAAAGAGGGGAGACGACCGCTAGGTTTTTAGAGAGAAGCAAGAGCTCTCTAAGAGTGTTTTTTTATCGAACCACACAAAAGACTGTAGCTTTAATTATTGTGGAAAACTAATTGTTACAATTGAATAGTTTTGATGACTATATCCAAAATTAATAAATGAGGTTAACAATTATTTAGTCTATTTATATACCTGCACTAAAATTACAGTTTGAAACAACAACATCCAAGTCTTACTCCTAAAATTTTTTGGGGTCGACTATGAACACTCCGATAATACTATCTCCGTCCCTTAAAACTTTGACAACTTTCCTTTTTTTGGATGTCCCACTAACTTTTCATTTTCTCTTTTAAGTAAAGAATCTGTGGTTCAAGATAATTCTCTCTCATCTGCACAAACCTCAACCACAAAGTTTTTACTTTATTAATCTCCGTGTCGGTCAAACTTGGCAAAGTTTTACAGGACAGAGGGAGTATGTGTCTTTTTTTAAACTGGGTCAATTAGGGTCAAAATTGGACCGGACCGGAAAATTCGGGTCTAGACCGGTCTGGATCGGTTAGATTCAGGTCCGGTCTTCGGTCCATAGAAACTGATGATTCCGGTTCCGGTCCGGTCTGGTTCGGTCCGGTTTTGGACCGATGCACACTCCTACATGCAACTAGGGGTTTTGGCATGAAATTCTGCCTCTTTTCAAATGAATTGCTTGTATACATATGCAACTATACATGTTTTGTATCAGATTAGGAGTCCGTTTGATAATAGACAAATTGGCAGGTTCTGCTGAAATTTATGAAGTTCTGGTTGATGTGGCTGCATTGGCTGATTGCGCTAATTAATGAAAAATAATAATTTGAAATACATTTTATTATTAAAATAAAGAAAAAAATATACTCCCTCCGTTTCATATTCTTTGACACACTTTCCTTTTTTGGACGTTTCAAAATGAATGACACATTTCCCATTTGGTAAACAATATAGTACAAACAGTGCAAAACAGTGTCTAAACAGTGTCAAACAGTGTTCAAACAGTGCCAAACGGTGTCCAAACAGTTTCAAATAGTAAAATTTACCCCTAAGTAAAAAAATTCCTTAAATGTTGACATGTCAAACTATGTCAAAGAATATGAAACGGAGGGAGTATGAAAATAGCTAAAATGACCCTTTACAGTAACTTCAGTCAATACAACCAGAAAAGTAACTCCGACCTTATTTTTTTTTATTGTTACATAATTTAACCCAAAAAATCAAAGTTGAGTGTTTAACCAAAAGAAGAATTTTTGGGAGTAAAATACTTTAATGCCCATTTTTAAATGATTATTTGTAGGGATGAAAAGACCGCACGACTGCCGCCTAGAAACTCTGAAAGGCAACTAAAAGCGGCCAAAAAGCGCATTCAATTATTCAAAAATGGTAATGGCCGTCAAAATCAGTCTCTCCTCTTCAATATCCTTCCTAAACCCTCTTCAGAAAACCTTCTCTGTTCTCTCCACCAACAAAAAAATGTCATCTTGGTCATGCCCAGCCTGCACTTTCATCAACCCTCCCTCTCAAAAATCCACCTGCCTAATCTGCCTATCGCCGGCGTCCACGCCGCCGGCAAAGCCCAAGTGGCCATGCACGGCCTGCACGCTCCTCAACCCTTTCCCCTCCCAACGGTGCGAAGCATGTGGGACCCGAGCCCCGGCTGCTTCGCTTTCCACTCTCCTTGACACGGAAGACGACGATGACCCGCAATCTGTGGGAACCGTTTTCTTGCCGTTGAGACATTGCCAGAATTCCGGGAAATCAGCTCCGATTGAGGTTGAAGATGATGACACTACTATATCTGATACGGGATACGGGTCGGGTATGGATACTTCAGAGGAGTCAATGGCTGGGAATGGTGGAAAGAAGAGGAAAAGGCTGGGGGAGCAAGTTGTGGTTGAAGATGATGATGGGGTTGGTTTCAGGAATGCCAATACAGGCAAAAATGTTGTCATTGAGTCACTAGGTAAGTTAAGATCCTATGTTTTTTATTGGCAGGTGAATGTTGGCCTTGACTGAAACTTTTTGGATGAGTTTGGAATTTGAATAGAGGAAAACACTAGCGAAAGAAATAGGAAGGAAAACATAGAAGGAAATTTGAAGGAGAGAAAATGTGGAGTTAGTTCAAGATAGCCATAAGCTATAACTCTATTTATTTTAGATAGTTGTTGATGCAAACTTTAGTTATTTATTTATGTTTGTTAGATAAAAAGAATTCAGGAAATCTATATATATCTTTAACTTGTTTTTATTAGTCATATTTCGCTTCCAAGGTTAAAGTGTAAAACCAAGCATTACAAAACGACTTTCTTTATCAGTTTTTTCCCTTCCGATAATGGCTAATGCATTTTCAAGTATCCAAATTTTTGGAGACAAATGTGTAGTAGTGATTTTCTCGCACTCTTCCATGGGTATTGCCATGTAAGAAACTTATTTCTGAACTCAGCTTCTGTGATCCATCTGATTTAGATTATGATAATGCATATTTACATTGGGTGAATTCATCTTGGCCATTAACAGATTTGTCTGGATTAGCATATAATGAAGGTGCAGGATAAATCTAGTTTACTCAGATTATCATGAGCTGCTTTACAAAAAGCTTTTTGTTTGATTTTATTACGAGATGTTTTTTGAAGTGTTCAGCAGCATTATTGCCTATGTATATTTTCCATCAAGAACTCCCTTTCCGGTTTTATGCTACTATGACAAATAAATCCTAAATTTTTTATTTTTTATTTTTTATTTACTTGTACCTTGCTGGTGTATCTTAATACACGAGGGAATGAATAACTCGGTTTGCATTTTGTTCATTCTTTTTTTCATGTTTGATGGAGAACTATTGCTTTTGTGAATCTCAGATGATGATATAGAACAAGCACATAGCAGTACATGGTTGGATAAAAGGGAATCAAGGGCCCTGAAAATTTTGACATACAATGTTTGGTTTCGTGAAGAACTGGAGTTGCATAAACGTATGGAAGCTATAAGCGATCTCATTGAGTTGCATTCCCCAGACATCATATGTTTTCAGGTACTTCCATAATCCATATTCTTTTGTGTTGTTCTATTAGAATATAAAATTAACATATAAGCGATTGTATTACTTCTATAACTAGGTTGAGCTTTTAGGATGAAATACGAAATATTAATATTGTATAATATCTCATTAAACTCAAATGATCATCTTGATGTGGACAAGTCTTAATATGCCAACTATTGTAGTATTGTACAAGAAATCAATGCAAATTTAAAATCATTTGGACATGATGCTTATTAATTTTCATATGCAGGAGGTCACTCCCAGAATTTATGACATCTTTCAGGGATGTAGATGGTGGAAGGTGTATCGTTGCTCTGTGCCTAGTGATTTGGCATTTTCCAGGCCATACTTCTGTATGCAGGTAATTTGCTCTGCTCTTTTTGTAACTACAGGGCCACAACTTTGTGATTCTACATGTAATGTCTCAGATTTGTGCTGCATTTGTTTCCAAAGAACTTGTTAAAAAAATTGTCGTAGGAATAAAGCTTCGTGGAACATGGAGGAAATAGTTTTCCTTAAAAACAAGGTTAATAAGGCGGTTCTTATTTTTGCACAAAAATGGAAAACATCAAACTATTTTAGGTCCAAAAAAGCTTTATTTTATTGTGTTCGGGTTTACCTAAAAAATTTAAAGGAAAACAGAATGTAATTAATTAATTAAAATTTTAACATGCATTTGTATTTGTAGTTTTATATAATAGAAATAAATAAAGAAGTAAATAAACAAAGAAATTACATTTGGACAAATTTAAAAGCATGTTATTGAGCTTGAATCTAACTATAATGCCCCCAAATCACCTCTCGCCGATTGTCCTTTCTATTTTACTCCATATTTTCATTCCATAGTATTTTGGGAAAGTTCCCGAAATGGGACTAAAAAAGTTTGAAAATTCCAAAATAGCACTGTCATGTTTTTATTCCCAAAATAGGACTAATTACTGCCAAATTTGGAAAATACTGCCATGTTTAAAGTCTGGTACTGCCAAAACATGACAGTAATTAGTCTTATTTTGGGAATAAAAACATGGAAGTCCTATTTTGGAATTTCCAAACTTTTTTAGTCCCATTTTGGGTAATATCTCTAGTATTTTCCAATTTTCAAATAGATCCTAAAGAACAAAGTAATATATTCCTTAAGAAAAACATTATCTGGTCCCAAACTCTAAAACAATGCCTGTCAATGGCTCTTTTAGTCCTACACACATAAAATCAAAAATCATTTTCTTTGAAAATATTCCTATTTCACTGTGAAAAAACAGAGGCGATTGTATTCCTGGTTAAATGGATCTTTTCCAAATTCTCAACATCTATGAATTTCTTCACCGAGTGTTACCACTTCATTTGCTGAATGAAAATTTGTGCTGAGCAAATACTTGGAAAAAAATTACAAAGCACTTTTGTTTGCAGCTAACAAAACTCTCAGTGAAAAACTTTAGCTGCAAACCTTTTGGCAATTCAATAATGGGGAGAGAACTATGTGTTGCTGAGATTGAAGTAGAGAAAGAAATGAGATTGGTAGTTGCGACCAGCCATCTCGAGAGCCCATCCCCCGCTCCACCTAAGTGGGACCAGATGTTCAGCGAAGAACGTGTGGCTCAGGCGAAGGAGTCCATCAACCTCCTTGACCAACACCCAAATGTTATATTTTGCGGGGATATGAACTGGGATGACAAGCTGGACGGACCGTTTCCTTTAAAGGACGGATGGGTTGATGCTTGGTCTGAGCTAAGGAGTGGAGAGGTGGGGTACACTTACGACACGAAGACAAATCAGATGTTGAGCGGGAATAGGTCACTGCAGAAAAGACTGGACAGGTTCTTGTGCAGCCTCAAGGATTTCAGGATACATAAGATTGAGATGATTGGGAAGGATCAGATATCGGGCTTGTCTTATTGTAAAGAAAAGAAAACGAGGAATGCAGTTAAGAAGCTAATGCTACCTGTTCTTCCAAGCGACCACTATGGCTTGCTTCTGGAGATTCTTCGTCTGTAATTAGTGGTAAATGGATATTAACTGCCTTAGCTTTTGGTCACTTCAGGGTTTGTCATTTGTGTAGTTAGTGTTTTGGGGGTCACTCAAATGCTGCCTGAACTAACACAAATGTGCAGTTTTGTATAGGCAATGAAAACTGAAAAGGGTGTAACCATAATTGTAACCGGGCATGTCCGGTTCGGTTTACACTGGCAGTTTATGTCTGCTTCTGTGGCCGTCACTAGCCGGTTTCATAGCCTATTAAAAGAACCAGGTACCGGAACTGGTCGGATTGGTTCTATTTTGGGAGAATGGGAATTGATTTAGGATGGTTTGCGGTACAACTATGGCTTATTTCTGGAGATTCTTCGTCTATAATTAGTGGTAAATGGATGTTAATTGCCTTAACTTTTGGTGAGTGATGAGGGACTTGTCGTATAATTATCTTTATTATTGTCTATACATTAAAAATTCATCACATGACCCCATCCGGCATTAAAAACAAGTTATAAATTCTTGGAAACTACGAAGAAAATTACGGAGTACATCATTATCAATACGTAAAGAACTAAATACAATCTTAAAGTTTACTGTTAGCATTAAAATGAGAAGTAAGCTCTATTACAGGCCAGGAGAACTGTAGTAAGTTCTAAATAGTTTTAGTTTTGCAATAGTCAACATTTTTTGATCAATCAATGTTAAAGTCAAATGGGAAAATTGTCAAATAGGTCCCCATACTTTTGCGAAAAAGTCAATTGAATCCTCGTACTTTAAATTCTACTCTCTCCGTTCCATTTTACTTGTCCTACTTTCCGTTTTGGGTTGTCCCAAAATAAGTGTCTCTTTTCTTTGTTTGGAAAGAAATATGTAGTCTACACAATTTCACTTTATTATACTCGATCCTCACCTATTACTTTTACTTTTTCAACCACTTCATTAATAATTGCGTCAAGTCAATGCATGGGCGGAGCTAGGGGAGGGCCATCCCTGGCCCAGCCCAAATTTTAAAAATGTCTGTATTTTTAGTGTAAAAAATTCCGTGAAAAAAATTTCAAAAAATATTCTTTGTATCGGCCCAGTGCGGCCTAGTGCTCTAGCTCCGCCCCTGAGTCAATGAAGTGAATTTCAGTCCAAATAACTCTAAGCCCCCCCAGCCCCTCATCCAGACCCCATGGAATAAAAAGAGGAAAAAAAATCTTGTCAAATCAAACTAAGACACATAAAATGGGACGAGTATGAATTAAGTTCTCCAAGTATTACAAAATGATCAAATAGGCTATTTTGGAGGTGACCAAGCGGTAATCCGGTTACTTGGGACTCCCAAGTTGGGAGTCCAGTTGGTTCTTCCTCAGTGTTTTCTCTTCCTAAATCAAAGTAACCGGACTATATTTTTTACCGTAGGTGTCTAGCCGGTTATATTGGAGTAAACTGTTTTCTTTTTCTCCTTTTGATTTCTTTCTTCTTTTTCCCATGGAGTTCGCACTCCTCTCCCTGCAAGTCCACAGTTCCACACCATTTATTTGACTTTCGATGACCGGTAACATGCAGCTTCCTTCTATATCACAATATATGTCTATGTCTTCTCTTCAGCGGTCCTAACAAACCGATCAGAAGAGATTTCTTCCCCCTTCCAATAGCTCTCTGCAAAGTAAAATAGTTACAAAGTGGATGAAATTGCTTCATTTTGGAATTATCAAGAACTTCATCTGATATTTTTTTCGTTGTAACCCGTGTCCAGAATCTGGTGGGGTCGTTAATTCGCCGCGACGGCCGTTCAGCTTGCCTGAGAAAAAAAAACAAGCTTCACTATCTCGGACGTTAGGTCCATGCACTCGCCGACTAGAACTTTACTAACATTGCCGCCGACTTATAGGTTTTATGAGAATGTGTTTCACTTTGGTCGCCATTAACTAGCCTCAGATAGATCAAAAGAAGTCCAGCAGTAAAAGGGAAAAAGAAAAAAGAAAGAGAATATTATCCGAAATAGGACTAAAAAGATTTGAAAATTCCAAAATAGGACTACAATGTTTTTATTCCCAAAATAAGACTAATTACTGCCATGTTTTGGCAGTACCAGACTTCAAACATGCCAGTTTATTTTCCAAACTTGGCAGTAATTACTCCTATTTTGAGAATAAAAAACATGGCAGTCGAATTTTCAAATTGTTTTAGTCCTATTTCGGGAACTTTCCCAACAAAAAAAGGAAATTTTTTAAAAAAATCGGAGTAGTTCTTACAAAATAGTAAAAAAGGCCATGCGGACATTCACAATCGGAGGTAACCGGGTAGCTGGTTGTATTTTAATACTTTGCATGAGGACTTAATTGATTTATTTTAAAGTACGAGAATTTAATTGACTTTTCGTAAAAGTATGAGGACCTATTTGACAGTTTTCTCAAGTTAAATCCTTTCTATTGATAATTACTTCAATTTTAATAATTAAAATATACATATTCAAAAATTACATAAAAATCTCTATGATTTGCAAAATCAAAATTAAAATTTTACTAAAAATTCATATCCTAATTAAGTAAATGAAATGAATCCATTTGATTCAAGAAAGTCAAACTTTATAACTCAATTTGGGACAGAGAGAGCGTTGAGGTTTATTCCTCCAGGTCCAAAGGCCCAACACGGTCCTTTGGCTGTCGTTGGAATGTTATGATCAAGCTGAAAGCGATGTGAGTAATGAACAACAAGAAAACACAATCGGTCAACTGTATTATAGTGAATATGCTGGTCACACAATTATGGCCGAACAGGATCTCCGGATCAGATTGTGAGCTAAATGCTGATACAAGAGCTAGAGTAGTATATTGTGTGTGAGTACAAAATTGATAACCCTTTACAATGAAATAAATGCTGATATTTTTACTAAACATTTCATGTATGTCCATAACCTGTTCGATAAAATGCCTTAACCGTTGTTTAAAGGGTAGAGTACACTTGTTATTGTACGATGAACTCTTGCATTTCAAACACACTTATCCCTTAGAAAAAAGAAATCATTCATTCACTTACAAGCCTACCATGTTTCATCTTTCTTTTACTTGCTTATTTTTAAGTTATTTATTATTTATAATACTCATGTTGTTAATTTTCAAAAAACATAGAAAAAAGGCATACATATTTTTCACTCTTGCTTTAACAACTAATTAAAAAGACACACAGGTTACCACATATACCAATGCTCGTTCAAAGTATTGTATAAAGTATGCTCTAAGTCTCTAACAACTTCTAATTCCAAAATACTGGGAAAAAAATTCAGGAGTTCCTAGATCGATTTTCTTAAATTGGAAGTTTATAAAAAGGAGTTTTCCTTATTAATATTGTAACTTACTCCATGTGTTTTTTTTAAAAAATAAACCCCTCCCCCTAAAATAACATACATGTCTTCTTGTTTAAACAAGATACTTATTTTACTCCACAAATTACAATGTCCCTAACAACTACTACTTTCAAAGTGCTGCAACAATTAGTCTCGGTAGTTCCTGGTTCATTTTCTGAACTGGAAGTTTCAAAAAAGAGTGTTCCTTATTAATAATGTCACTTGCTCCACTTCTTTAAAAAACTTTTGCAACCCCTAAAGTGCTTAATGATGTTTGCTCTCTGAAGTTTGTAAGTTTACTTATGTTTTGTTTGTTGAAGAGTAGAGATATAAGAGAGTGTAGTGAATGCTTCTTTCAGTATGATCTTTTTAGGTTACGTCATCTCATTTGCTTAAAGGAACCATACTAATATCGCTAGAAGTGCTTCCTAAAACTATCCCCACATTTAAGACTAAGTTGTTGGCATAATGCCTGAAATGTGAAAATACATACTGTGAATATGGCGACTTTTGATACGACACTGTTACAGTCGGAAATATCAACGTAGAAATAGGATGATCAGGAAGGATGATTCTGAAATCCAAAGTGGCTGAGAAAGAAATCTGTGATCTGACAGTTTTAGGAAACTTCCTAATCTGCAGCTTCCTAATTAGCATTTATCTCTTTCTCTAATTATTTCTAGCTTCCTATTCAATAATCTGCGGCAGTTTCCTAAGTAGTATTTATCTCTGTTCAATAATTATTCCTATTATGTTTTAGGAAACTTCTTAATTAGCATTTATTTCCTTTTAGAATTAGGACTCTTGTAATAGCTATATAAGGGTCATTAGTATTATTCAATAAACAGCTTTGAAGAATTAATTTCTGGATCTCTGGAATACTTCTAAGATCAGATTAATTCCACCGAGCCTTTCTTTTAATTCTTCCACTTAATACATTCATCATAGATTCCAAATTTCAGAATTTCCTAAGTTCTCGTTCCCTGCCAGTCTCTCGTTCTCGTCCTTGGACAAGATCTTGTACGTCTGCCCTTAACAACTTGGTATCAGCATCTGGGACGATGGCGAATGAAACTGCTGACGCTGGCTCACTCAAAGACATGATCGAAAACATCGATCACAGGCAACTGGCAGTCGAACATCAATTGGCAGACATCAGGGATTCTATGGCAAAGCTCGCCGACATTTCTAACGTTGTATCCGCGCTATCTGCCAACCTGCAACGATTGATGGACGAATCTTCCTCCAGCAATCCACGGCATGAACGACAACGCGACCCAGAACATCGTCGGCGTGAAACTGATGATTCCGTAGTCCCCCGCTACTCCAAACTGGAATTCCCTCAATTTGACGGTAAAAGTGATCCCTTGTCGTGGTTGAAACGTTGTGAAAGCTTCTTTATTCAACAACGAACACCGGCCCAAGCTCGAGTGGGATTGGCAACATTCCACATGCTTGGCAGCGGCCAACTATGGGCCGATCAACTGGAGACAGGAATTTCAGAGATTACATGGACAGACTTTTACACTCGCTGCATCAAACGTTTTGGCCCACCCAGTAGTTCTAATCCAGAAGGTGATCTTGCCAAACTTCGTCAAACTCGTGATCTGGAGCTCTACATTGAGAATTTTCAACAATTATTGGCTCAAACTGTGGGGATCTCTACACGAATGCATGTCAAAATATTCACAGCTGGCCTTTAGGAGGTCATCCGCATGGAGGTTGAGTACCAAAGTCCGTTAGATCTTGACTTTGCGATGATGCTCGCACGTAATGTTGAACGCAAATATAATTTGCAAGGCTCCCCGGTCGACATTTCATCCCATTGTCTCATCCTTATACTGCTGTCTCGGTCGCAAGAGTCTTCTTTGCTGAAATATTTCGCCTTCATCAGCATATCACCCGAAGACAGATGGCCAAACGGAAGTGGTCAACCGTATCGTAGGGTTGTTCTTACGTTGTGTCACTAGCGATTATCCCAAGGAATGGGTCCGTTGGCTTCCATGGGTTGAGTATTGTTACAACACATCTTACCACTCTTCCTTAGGGGACACCTCTTTTCGTTTAGTG